TGACTACTATGAAAAATCTCTATGCCCAGAAATTTGACAACATGGAGGAAATGGACCAATACCTGATTTCACACCCTCTCCCTAGACTTAACCAAAAAGAAATAGATCTCTTAAATAGACAAATATCAAGCACTGACATCAAAGAAACAATAAAAATCCTCCAACAAAAAAATGCGTTGGGCATTTGGCTTCACACCAGAATTCTATCAAACCTTCAAAGAAGAGCTTATACCCATACTGCAGAAACTTCCAAAACCTTGAGAAAGAAGAAGTCTTCCCCAGCACATTCTTTAAGGCAAAAATTATCCTGATACCAAAACCAGGAAAAGACCCAACTAAAAGGAGAACTACAAAAAAATTTCACTAATGAATACAGATACAAAAATACTCAAGAAAATGTTAATTGGGAGGCGCCTGTGGCTCAAAGGAGTAGGGTGCCGGGCCCATATGCCAGAGGTGGTGGGTTCAAACCCAGCCCCAGCCAAAAAATGCAAAAAAAAAAAGAAAGAAAGAAAGAAAGAAAATCTTAATCAATAAATTACAGCTACACATTAAAAAAATTATACACAAAAAATCAAGTAGGCTTCATCCCAGGGACGCAAGGCTGGCATAATATATGCAAATCCATAAATGTAATACACCATATCAATAACAATACACCTAAGCAAAAACAAGGATTAATGATCCTCTCAAGAGATGCAGAAACAGGACTTACTAAAATTTGGCATCTTCTTCTAACAAGAACATTTAAGAATATAGGCATAGGTGGCACATTTCTTAAACTGATTAAAGCCATCCATGACAACCCCATGGTTAATATCACATTGAATGCAGTCAAACTGAAAGTTTTTCCACTTAGAACCGGAACTAGACAAGGATGACCTCTATCACCACTACTATGCAACATAGTGCTGGAAGTTCCAGCCAATGCAATCAGGCAAGAGAAGGATATAAAAGGCATCCAAATGGGGGTCAGAGGAAGTCAAAATATTGCCCTCTGCTGATGATTCGATCTTAACTTAGAGAACCCTAGAGATTCAACCACAAGACTCCTGGAAATGATCAAAAAATATAGTAACATCACAGGGTATAAAATAAAGGTCCATTAATCAGTACCTTTTGCATATGCCAATAATAGCCAAGTTGAGAATTTAATGAGAGACACTACTCCCTTTACAGTAGCTTCAAAAAAATGAAATACCTATGACAATACCTAACAAAAGAGGTGAGGAACCTCTACAAAGAGAATTATGAAACCCTAAGAAAAGAAATAGCAGAAGACATTAACAAATGGAAGAGCATACCATGCTCCTGGCTGGGAAGGCCCAACATTGTTAAAATGTTGATACTTCCCAAAGCAACTACAGTTTCAATGCAATCCCCATTAAAATACCACCATCATACTTTAAAGACTTGGAAAAAATAGTTCTTCATTTCGTTTGGAACCAGAAAAAAACCTGTCTAGCCAAGGCAATTTCTAGTAATAAAAACAAAGCGAGAGACATCATCCTATCAGACCTTACACTATATTACAAGTCCACTGTGATCAAAACCGCATAGTATTGGCACAAAAATAGACACTGGAACTGAATAGAAAACAAAGAGATGAAACCAATCTCTTGTAGCCATCCAATCTTTGATAAATCCAACAAAAGCGTACACTGGGGAAAAGATCCCTACTCAATAAATGGTGCTGAGAGGAATGGATACACACATGCAAAAACTGAAATTTGACCCATTCCTTTCACCACATACAAAAATTGATTCAGGATGGATAAAATATTTAAATCTAAGGCATGAAATTATAAAAATCCTCAAAGAAAGTGTGGGAAAATCTCTTGAGGATGTTGACCTGGGGAAATATTTTATGAAGAAGACTTCCATGGCAATTGCAACAAGAAAAAAAATTAACAAATGGTCCGTAATTAAACTGAAAATTTTCTGCACAGCTAAGGGCACAACAATCAAAGCAAATAGACACTCTTCAGAATGGGAAAAGAGATTTGCATATTAAAAATCTGAGAAAGGCTTGTAACGAGGATCTATAAAGAACTGAAATTAATCAACAAAAAAAGAGCTAGCAATCCCATTTATCACTGGGCAAGAGACATTAAAAGAACGTTCTCTGAGGAAGCCAGATGAATGGCTAACAAACACATGAAAAATCCTTACCATCCCTAATCCTCAGAGAGATGCAAATCAAAACTACCCTGACATATCACCTAAGCTTGGTAAGATTAGCCCGTATCAGAAAATCCCAATGATGCAGACACCAGCCTAAGGATATATTAGTGTATTTCTGGGTTCTCATTTCTATTTCATTGATCTGAATGCCAAAGACATTCTCCCAGACAACTAGGGGAAATTTAAGTATGAACTGGAAATTAGATGATACTGAAAAATTACTGATTGTGTTAGGTATGACAATGATACTACCACATGGCTATGTAGCAAATTGTCCTTATTTTTAATATTTAGTGAATAATTAGACACGTAATGACATGTTAAGAATTTCCTAAAAACACCACACTCCAAAATTTTCTTAGAGAGGAATGAAAATAGGAGGTGGATAAATCAGTACAACCAAATACTGAAAAGTATTCAACCTAAGATGGATCACGGCGCTCATCACGCTATAGTCTCTTCTGTATGTAACTCTGAAAGCTCTGCCAGTGAAAAGCTGAAATAATTTTGACAGCAGGACTTAGGCTAACATAGTGACTCCTAACTTTTAATTGAAATTAAAACCAGAACCTGAGACAAGCCAGGGAGGCACACATCTCTTATTGTTGTGGGACCACATCCCACCCCTAGTTCCCCAGAGCTATAGCTGCCCCAAATCATAGAGACTGAACCTGAAATCCTTGCAGCTGGACCGAGTCATCATTTCTGCTAGAACTCATCTAATACTGAAAAAGACTGGGACTGATTGTTCTTTGCACAGAAATGATTTTAATTTCTCCTCAATCATGATCTGTCATTCTATTTAAAGAATTATGTCACTGTGTATGATTCCCTGGATAGACTCACTGAGATTTGGGGACAGGAGACCCTCAGGGAATCCATGGGTATTTCAACAAAATTTACTTTGTACTTGTGGTGTATCCTAGGCTTTTTCTCAGAGAGCCCTCTTGGAAATAGAAACTCCTCTTTGAGAATTTAGCTTTCTTTACACTTGTAAATATATACACTAATACAGAACCTTCCACAGCTATAAAATATTTTATACATATACATCACTTAATAAATACATAAAAATATTTCTTGTATCATTAAATACCTGTGCGTGACCAAAAACATAGAAAACTATATTTCACATTTTATGGATGTGTCTATATCATAGATTATATAAAGTCATATATAGCTTTCTTTGACCTAAACCCCTCTGGTGATCCAGGAAGTGGCAGGGCCCTACCCTTGATGAGAGGACAGGGTTCAGCCAAACCCTGAGTGGCTGTTGGCATTGTGGTGGATCAAGGGTGAAGGGTAGAAGAGCCCTTTGGCAGGCTCAGCCTCTAAAGGTCCACTAACTTGCCCCTCTTCAACTGTTATTGCTAAGGGCAGAAAGACACCCCTAATTTTGAAAGACATGTGAATTGAAATGGCAGACATTTTTGGAATTTACTCTTCTGACTTCTTAAAAAGGGCATTATTTCACTTCTCCTTCAGTTGGCTGAAAATTCAGTTTCACTAAACATCTGCTGAGACATCTGTGCAAGAATATGACTGTAATTGAGAAACCTTGTGAGAAACCTTGTGAGAAAACAGAACAACAGATAGAAATGCATAGCCCATTCATAATAGATAATATACTGAGATGACACACAAGGTGTTTCACCTGGATGTAGCAACTATACATTTGCCCAGAATCTTATACCTGCACCGGTCAAGGCATTTTCAAGTGCAAGTGACAGAATTCCAACTTCAACTGGCAAGACCAGCAATATGACTCAATAGTGTTTTAGGAGTATATACTATGATACAGCACAGTAAGGGTATAAACGTCATGGAAGGGAAATATTTATAGATGGTAAATAACTGTACCTAATAAGTCATACACACTATTAAGAAAAATTAGTAAATTGAAGATGAATGCGCAAAAACCAAAGCTATACTTTCATTGCCCATAGTCAGTGCAAAATAGAAATGGGAAACCTGCTCTGTGCACAGTAGTTTCAAATAAAATAAACTGCCCAGTAATAAATTTTAATAAAATAATCTTATATAAGGTGAAATTTTTAAAGCAATATGTTAAGAAATGATGCAAAATACATCCTCCAGAATGAGAAGACTTAAGAGCAAAAAAATATCAATTTTTCTCAATGAAGGAAAACCCAGCAAACCCAGGCTGGGTTTAAAAGACTCTGCCAAGATGAAAGTGAGAATATGGAAAAACATGAATGTGAGGAAAGTATTTAAGAAGGTTTTTGGAATCTTGTTCATAGAAGCAAAAAGTGGAAAAAGCTTAAATCCTTACTAATATTGATTGATTGATGAAGCTATTTAATATGTTGCATCTAAACTAATGATTTTCCTGCATCTTCAAAAGAAAGGGTCAACTCTGCATAGTTTGGCCTAAAAAGAAATTTGTGACTTATTGGTACATAGGAAATACAAGGTAAAACATAATAAATTTGAGCCTGATATTCATTTTTAGTTTAATAAAATACACATAATATGAAATAATTTCAGAACATTTTAAAAGATGCTTAGAGCTAAAGTAGCTAGAAAACTACCAAGAACATTTCCTGCAGAAGGTAAAACAGGATCACTTAAAAAGCACAAAGTTTCATTTCATTTTTCTTTCAAAAACAGTATTGAAAAATACAGCTGCAAATTTTGTATGATTATATACATATATCAAGAATGGGACCATTATAAAAATTGGTAACCAACAATTTAATGAATTAGCAAAACATAATGCATTAAACTAGAAAGAAATTCCAAATTCAACAAATGGAAATGACAAATCCCAACTAAGTAAGGATTCTTTTTTTTTTTTTTACTTCAAGTCCAAAGACAGGTTATGCGTATTTTGCTAAAGGAGAGACAACTCACCTCAGGCAGTGGCTTTCCCTGGTGGCAGTTGATGCCCCCGATGAAGATCATGTTGGGCATCAGGGGTCTGGGATAGTCCAAAACAAAGTCAGTTCGCAGCAACCAGATTGATGTGTGGCTGTACAGATCATATGCTGTGACAGGTGTCTGCAGGATTTCAGAGGCACTTTCTAAGGCTGTTTTTATAAAAATGGAGCAAAACGAGTGCTCAGTCAAGTAGAGAATATGATTCGATACTCTCTCCTTGAAAGTCATGGCATCCGAATACCCTGAGAGAATTCTGGGGACGTAAGAAAGCGAAGCAGGGACCTGAGCACCATCTTCAAGATAATGGCAAAATATCCCCCTGCTAAAGATCACAGAGGGGAGTGAAAAGTATTTGGCAACTATTAAGCCACACATATCAAAAGGATCCAGAAACACAGCATCAAAAGAGCTCTCTCTTAAATATTGTACTAATTTTCGGTCATTGAACAAACTCCTACAGTGTGAAAAAATTAGCTCAAAATACTGAGTGGTAGTAGAGCTACTCAATGCATCAAAGAAACTTCCTTGTCGAGATTTCCATTGATCATTGGCGAAAACCATGAACACATGGTCCAAATCCTCCAGGGAGTAAGAAGTTTTAAAAGTCTTCACTGTACAATTCAAAGATTGTCCCAGTTGCCAACTCACATCTGGCATGACCACAACCACCTCATGTCCTTTCTGGATGAGTCTCTCCACAACCGACCGCATGGTGAACCAGTGGCTTCCATCCATGGGCACCACCAGCAGCTTGCCTGCCTCAGCCAGGCCAGGTGTGAACAGCAGACATGCACACAGGGTGAGCAGACTGGGCAGCCCTGCAGGAGCCATCGCAGAACCACAGCCCAGAGCAGTCTGGCTGGCTGGATACTGAGCTCCAGTGACACAGCAGGAGGAAGAAGGCAGACACAAAACCTGTGCTCAGAAGAGGGCGTGAACGCACATGTTCATAGAACAAATCACACTGCTGCCAGTAATTGACTCATAACCACAATAACGAATGGGGCAGCTGCTGAGACACCCACTCTTAGGCTCTCCAGATAAGACTACCTTATTATCTTTGCCCTACAAATAAATCATGATTAATATTGCAAAGCAACTTTAGAAACTAATTATTAAGCAATGCTTTGGACTTTGACAACACAGAAAGATAAACAGGAGAGAAAACAAATACAGAAAATAAAAAGGGAGAAGAAATACAAAAATAAAGATTGTGTTGGTGAAATTCAACTCAAAGCAAAATGTGGAGGTTATCCACCGACTAGAAAATACTCTTTGCCAAGAAGGATATTGGCATCTCCTATTCCAAGGAAAGGCACCAAGACCCTCTGCAGTGACTCCTGACTGACCAGAAATGGTCCACATTTATTTCTGCACTCTGTGGCCATTGCTGCTCACCTTTCCATTTTCCACACCTGTAAAGCCTCTGAAATGCTGAACAAGAGGAGCAACCCCTACTTGAATCATCCAGAGATTTGATGGAGAGTATCTGGCAGACAGGCTGCATCCAGGCTGACTACCCACCCAGCGCTGCCCCAGCACTTGGCTGAGATGCTTTTCTCTGCCCTCCATGCTTACACTTTCTAGCCAGAGATGTGAATGGACCTCTGCTGCAGGCTCACCCCATCACCTCAGGTGCCCTCCTTCAGGAGAATATGCATAGGTCTCACCCACTCCACTGAGCACTGAGGTGAGGGGTGGTCTTCCTCATGTTTCCCCCTATTTCCACGGTTCCTGCACTATGCCTTGCACAGGAATGTGTGCTGCACTGGACTGAAGTAGACTGTGCAGGGTTCTCAGGTAACTTCCTGGGTGAGGACATTGGTGTGAGTCAGGGAACACTCTGGGGAACACTCAGTGAAGGGTCTGCAGCCAACCTAGGAGTATTATCCTTTCTAGGACAAGATGCACACTGGACATTTGCTTAGTCTCCATTCACCTTGCTGCCTGGGGCACTCTCATAGGATGGTGTGGGAAATGGGCTGGGAGGTGGCAAGGCCCCTCACAGCCTGGGGAAGCAATCAGGGAATGACCCCCACCCACCCAGAACTTGTTCTCCTAGATTAACATTCTTTTCACCTGCCAGAACTCACGTAGCCCATGCATATTTTCCTTATTATCCCAGCTGTTAAGATTTACCTTGTTAAAGATACTTTATAAATCTGCTTCCACAGTTCGGTGCTGGCTGGCTAGCTACAGCCATCAACTGCATCAGTCTCATGACACCATCCTATCTCTCGTCTCCTGTCTTTGTCTCTCCATGTCTTTCCTGGTTTTAAACTTCTTCATTTCCTACCATTCCCTCTAAGGTTATTTCTCCTGCCTCATGCTGGTTCACAAGAGGATGGGCATAGAGAAATGAAAATGGCAGTGTGTGATCATCTACCTTTCCGGAAGCCTCATGTCACAGCAAAAATCAGCGCACTGGAAATAGAGGAAAGCAATGAGACAAAAGCTGGTTCTTTCAGAGCAATTAACTTGCTAAAGTTTTAGCCACACTGACCAGAAAACAGAGAGAAAGAACAAATAAATTACCAAGGAGGGGAATGAGAAAATCACCACAAATTCTATAGATATCAAGATAATAAGAGAGTAACATGAACACACTTGTGATAAGAAATTCTACAATGTAGACTTTACAAACAAATTCCTTAAAAGAAAGAAGCTACCTGAATATACACAAAACAAATGAGTAACCCACATAGAAGAATTCTATACCCTTTTTCGTGGCTTTGGATTTGTAATCCAAAAACTCCAGTAAATAATACATCAATTCCACATGACTTCAGTGATGAGTTCTACCAAACATGGAGAGAAGAAATAATACCAATTCCTCACTATCTGCTCCATAAAATAGGGGCATAGGAAATTGCCTAATTTTTTCAATCAGCTGAGCATTCCCACAATATTAAAATCAGATAAAGACATTAAAAGTATAGACCCTTGTGAACATAGATGCAAAAGTTCTAAATAAAAATTGAGTGCCTAATTCAATAAGATATACAATGTATACAATATATAAAGATAATATACAACAATCAAGTGGGATTAGCTCAAGAAAGGAAGGCTGAATCACCATCAGAAAATCATTCAAGGTTGTCATACCAACTTCATGGCAGCATTATTCATAATAGCTAGGACTGGGAGCAGCTCTACTGTCCATGCACAGATGAACGCATAAGCCAAATGGGGTAGATGTATGCAATGGAATATCATTCAGCCTTAAAAAGGAAGAAAAATCTGATACATGCTACAACATGGATGAACCCTCAGGACATTTTTCTGAGTGAAATAAGCCAGTCACCAAAGAAAAGACTGTGTGTGATTCCATATTTAAGAGGCATAAAATTGTGGAATTCATAGAATAACAGAGTTGAATGGTGGTTACCAAAGGCTGGGAGGAGGAGTGATAGGGTGTAATTATGTAATGGGTAAAAAGTTTCAGCTTGGGGTGATGAAAAAGTTTTGGAAATGAATGGTGGTGTTTGGAACATCAACAGACTCAATATTGAACTATATACTTCAAATAGCTGAGATGATAACTTTCTGTCATGTGTATTTTTTCTACATTCAAAATGAAATAAATACTTAAAGCAAAATCAGTCTGGCTAACATAACATATCCTAATAAATACATTGAAAAAATAAAGCCATATAATCATCTCAATGACCATAGAAAATGTATTTGGCAAAATTCAAAATCCATTCCTGATTTTTAAAAAAAAGTCTTAGCACAATCAGTCAATACAGAAGGTTCTCACCTTAGTGAACGGCATCTTTGAAAAACCCTCAGTTAACCTCATACTTCATGGCAAAAAACTGATCATGCTACTCCTCAGGTCTGACCCATGTTTGGGATGGGAGCTTTGACTATTTCTTCTCAAAATAGTTCTTGGGATTCTTTCCAGTGCAGTAAAGAAAGAAAAATAAACAGAAAGTGTCTAGGTAGATAAGAAAAAGTAAAAGGATCTCATTCACACACAAGATTCTCATCTGGGTAGAAATTCCAAGGAACTCTACAAAAATTACCTAAAAGAAATAAGTGAGCTTAACATTGTTACAAGATACAACAACTAAAATTTAAAGATACAACACTTAGAAATTAATGTTATTGCTTTCTAGAGTTCATAGTTGAACAACACAAATTTGAACTGCAGGGGTCAAGCAGACCATTCTTTCCTTTTTGTATTCCTTTTTTTGAATTAATGTATAAGAAAACTCTATGGAGATTTGCAACAAATTACAAAATCTTGCCAAAAAACCATGCAAATAAGAATTCTCAAAAAGAATTGGGAAAGAGTTAGATGTTTAATGAAAGCATAAATACATGTATACGCACACTCCAGTTTTTTTTTGTACCATGATAAAACAGTAGGCTAATCCTAGTTGAGTATTTGGAGAGTCAAAAGTTATATGTGGATTTTCAATTGCATGGGAGGCCCGATGTTCCTAAGGGTTATTTGTACTTGCAATGAACACTTGGAAAGTGGAATAAAAATAGCATTTAAATAGCAGCAGATATATGAAATACTTAGGAACAAATCTGACAAAAAATGTGAAAGACTGTACACTGAAAACTACAAAATATTATAAGAAGACCTAAATAAACACAGAGATATACCATATCCAAAATAAGCCACAGATTCTGAAGAAATCAACTCTCCCAAACTCACCTATAAATTTAACACAGTCACAACCAAAAGCGCAGCAGGATTTTTGGTAGAAATTGTAAAACTGATTCTCAACCTCCTATGAAAATTTAAAAGATAGGCCCTAGCCAAAACATCTCTGAAATGAAGGAAATTATTACATAGCAAGTAGTACCTCATTTTCAAGATTTATTAAAAACCTAAAATAATCAAACATTTCAGAAATAGAACAAGGGAACAGAGTGGAGTCCAGAAATAGATGCACAGATATACAGACATCAATTATTTACAAAGCTGAAAAAGCAATTCAATAGAGAAAAAACAGTCTTTTCACCAATGGCATATCTGTACACAAGAAAGCAAGAAAAGACATCACCTCTAGGTTCTTCCTCTATTTTGTTCTTTTCTTTCTTGTGCTTTTGGTGTTCCATCCAAGGAACCATTGCCACATCCAAGGTCATGAAGGTCAGCCCCAATATTTTCTTCTAAAAGTTTCACAGTTTTAGATTTTCTATTTAGGTCTTTGGTCCATTTCAAGTTAACTTTTGTATATGGTACGAGGTAAGGATCCAACTTCATTCTTCATTCATGTGGAAATGCAGTTGTCCCAGTACCTCATGTAGAAAAGACCAATCTTTCCTTCTTGCATGACCTTTGCAGGGTAATCAACAAATCAGTTTCCCAAAGGTGTATTAGTTAATTTATGGATTTTCAATTCTGTTTTTTGATCTGAATGCCAAAGACATTCTTCCAGACAATTGGGGGAAATTTAATTATGAACTGGAAATTTGATGATATTGAAGAATTACTGATTGTATTATGTATGATAGTGATACTATCATATGGCTATGTAACAAATTGTCCTTATTTTTAATATTTAGTGAAGTAATTAGGCATGTCAAGAATTTCCTAAAAACACAACAGCCAAAATTTTCTTAGAGAGGAAAGAAAATAGAGGGTGGATGAATCAGTACAATCAAATATTGGAAAGTATTTAACCCAAGGGTTGATCTGGATGCTCATCCTGCTATAGTCTCTCCTACATGTAACTTTGAAAACTTTGATAGTGAAAAGTTGAAATAAATAATCTTGATAGTAGGACTTAGGCTAGCCCAGTGACTGCTAACTTTCAATTAAAATTGGAACCAGAACCTGAGAGAAGTGATGAAAGCACACATCCCTTATTGCTATGTGACCACATCCCACCCCCAGGGGTCCAGAGTTACAGCTGCCCCAAATTGTGTAGACTGAACTTGAACTCTTCCTGCTGGACCCAGTCATCAATTCTGCTGGAACTCACCTAATGCTGAAAATGATTGGCACTGATTGTTTTGCCCACTGAAATATTTTCATTGTTCCTGAATCACGATCTCTCATGGTATTTACAGAATATAATTGTGTCAAAGGATATGATTCCCTGGAAAGACTCAATGATACTTTGGGACAGAACACTCAGAAAAA